AAGCCAACAGTCCTTTCTGCTGGACTTGAGCTTGGCAGGGTGTTGTCGCCAGCATTTGGAGGACTGGGTTAGTGTAGTCCCCCAGCTAGTGCTGTAAGAATAGGAGTGCCCGACCCTGGGAGATGGCACCTGCAGGTGGTGTGGGATGTTAACTTGGGATTGGGACCTCAGTAGCCGACCCTCCAGGCTTCTGTACACCCACGAGTCACCTTCCCTCTACCACAAGCTCCTGTGTGCTGGCCCTTTAGGAGAGCACTTGGGATTCTAGCAGACTCCCTCCTCTTCAGTGGGACTTTGTCCCACTGATTCTTGCTGCCAGGCACAATGAAGGCTCCTCTTTTCGGCCCTAGTGCTCTGGTTTTGGGTGTCCCAGAATGGAGTTGAGACCCCATGGTCCTCAAGGGAACTTTTGTAGCCAACATATCCTTCTTACTTATCAGCTACCACACCTGGGTGCAAGGGCCAGCCCTCTCTACGTCTCTGCCCTTCTCTGCGTAGCTTCTTCTATAAACCCTTGAATATAATGTTCCTGTTCAGCTGTCCTTCAGTTAGTTATTCAGGTTGATTGCTCTATAATTTAGCTATAAATCCAGTTTGGTGCTCAGAGGAACTGTGTGTAGCTTTCACCTGTCCTGTAGCATTCTTGGATCCTCTATAGAAGAGTTCTTAAAAAAAAAAAAAAAATTAAGTCTTCTAGAAGGTCTGCAGGGTTACTCTCAGGAAAGTCCAGTAGGGCTTTTATCTTTGTTTTTTAAAAAACAATATTTCTAGTGCTCAAAACAGTCACTGGTATATAACAGGTTCAATAAATGTTTGTTAATAAATGAGTGAGAGAATGAATGAATGGGAAGCATATACCATTGAAACTCTTGAGTCCCTCAAGTATCTTCATTTGAAAAAGGAGGTTTTGCTGCCTCTCAGTTGCTGGAAAACTTTGAACTCTACCAGGTATAGTATTCCCTTCAAGTCATCTCTTTGGGGTGGGAGAACTGGGTGAAGGTGTCAAAATGTAAACTTCTAGTTATATGATGAAAAGTTCTGGGGATTTAACATACAGCATGGTGACTACAGTTAACCATACTCTATTGTATATTTGAAAGTTACTAAGAGAGTAGACCTAAAAATTCTCATAAAAATAAAAAAATATATATAACTACTTGAGGGGATGGATGTTAACTAAATTTATTGTGGTAATCATTTTGCAATATATATACATATATAATCATTATGTTGTATACCTTAAATTAATACATGTATTAATTATATTTTCAATAAAAGTGGGGGGAAATATGCCTATTCTGGTTAATTAGAAAATAGAAGTTGCTGATTTTTAGATCTAAAACAATTCCTTAATTTCACAAGTTTAAGAAACTACTTTAGCATAAAGTCATAACTTTTGCAACATGACTTGTCTGCCACCTTTCTCTGGACCCACCTACTCCCATTCTTACCCCTGATCACTGAGCCCCGGGTATACTGTCCTCTTGGCTACTCTTTAAACTCCCAACCATGCACTACTGCCTGGAAAGCTTCTCCAGGATATCTGCTGCTCTCCCTATCTCGTTTCCTTCAGGACTCTGCACAAATGTCACTTTATCAGAGAGTGACAGCCTAAATGGAATAGCCAGCCTCAGACCCAGCTTTTGGCACTCCTCATTTCCCCCCCTTCCCTACATTTATTTTTCATCAACTTATTTTGATCTTTTACTTCTCTATCCTTGGTGCTTACCAAATGTATATTGGAACTGGAGAGCATTATGCTAAGTGAAATAAGCCAGTCAGAGAAAGATAAGTATCACATGATCTCACTCATTTGTGGAATATAATGAACAAAAACAGATCCAGAGACAGAGAAGCATCGATCAGACCATCAAACCTCAGAGGGAAGTTAGGGGAGGGTGGGGGTGAGGGGAAGAGATCAACCAAAGGACTTGTATGCATGCATATAAGCCTAACCAATGGACACAGACACCAGGGGGGTGAGGGCATGAGTGGAGGAGTCGGGGGCAATGGGGGGATAAAGACACATATGTAATACCTTAATCAATAAAGAGAGAAAAATGTTTATTGAGTGAATAAACAAGGACACAATAACATTTTATATACCACTTCAAGGAGACAATATGATATGTGATCAAGGTTCTGTCTTTTGAATATCTTTTCTAACTATTCACTATGGGGTCTAACTGTAGACTAACTTCCCTCTACTTTAGAATTTTCATCTGTAAAGAAAAACTAATAATATTTTTCTGGTAGACCCTTGGCCTCAAATAAATGCTGATTCCTCTCCTTCCTTTTACGCTGCCTCCTTTTCGTGGTTGGGAGCTAATGTGTCTATGATTCACAAGTTCTGCGATTGCTGTTAAATGAAAGGAACAATGTGTTGAGCAGACCTTTAACAATGTCTTTCCCCAAAACAACTCCTGTGGATTCTGTTTCTGTTTGGTAACCGGATACAAGGAACAAAAGGACACCTTCTTTTCTGACTGGGAAACCAAATAGAGACATTTGAGGATGATTTCATGAAGTTGCAGAATTAACGTTGAAACGTGACTGTTCTAGAGTAATGGTAAATCTGGGAAGCATTTCAGAGAGAGAACAAAAGAAGCCAAATGGGAGTGTGGCTGGAGCAGGCGCCATATATTGAGAAAAAGAGAGAAAGGAAAGGTCACGTAAGATTATGAAAGATCATGATGTCTGACTAAAAAGACCAGATTTCATACTATAATTAGTAGAGAGCCAGAGAGTCACTAAACATTTGAAAATCAGTAAGACACAGAATAATAAAATGGTAAATTTTAAAATGTTCAGAGACTTCTGAAAGCTGAGCAGCAGGCGGTACTAATGAACCCAGTGACATTTGTTCAGAAAAACAAATGACAAGGTTATAAATGGGTATTAATCATATCCTAATCTCCCTGGTCATCACCGTTTGACTCATCACATAGGAAAAGAGACATGAGCTGGGAAAGACTGAAGAACTATATTATCACAAGAGAGCACCAAAAAATGTCAACATACCAAAACAAGAGCACATGAAACTTGGCCCCCAAACAATAAGGGCTCTGTGTGTGTGTGTGATCTGAGTAGGATCTCTCTTAAGACTACTCCCTGCCTAGACTCTTCTTTATTTTTTTCTTTATTGATTAAGGTATTATGTATTTGTCCTTATCTCCCCATTACCCCGCCATCCTCCCACACATGCCCTCACCCCCCTGGTGTCTGTGTCCATTGGTTAGGCTGATATGCGTGCATACAAGTCCTTTGGTTGATCTCTCCCCCTTACACCCACCCTCCCCTGCCTTCCTTCTGAGGTTTGACAGTCTGATCGATGCTTCTTATTAAGTACAAATAAAGACATACGAACTTTATGGGTTCCAAAATGCTAAAATTCCCCTTCTGTGTATATGAGTAGGAAAAATATGATAATATTTAATTCATCCTAAAGAGAAAAATAAAAATTAATCTGTTACAGGTGCTGCTAAAAGTATTCTCACAGCAGAATTCTATAACAGAATTTAGCAAGGAATACAAGTTTTAGGACTTAGGAAACCAATAACTTAACTTCGAGGTTCTTGAAGTTATGAAAGTTCTGGCAACTAAATAGCAAGATGACACTTGTATCTGCCTGGGTTTTGTATTTTCCTTGGGTCCACTCTTCCCACAGAATGGATATGATTTATTTAGACTATCAAAGAGCTTTTATAAGGTTCTCACAAGAGCCTATTATTGAAACTTGGTAACCATGGTGTGAAAGAAAAAAAGTCGTATCAATGAATTAAATGAATTAAAAACTGCTTGAGAGGCAAAGAAGCCAAAAACAGAACTAACTGGCCAGTTCTCATGTGGAGAAAGGTTAATGATTGAGGGCTCTTATGCTCTGCAGTAGAATCAGAGTTATATTTAACTAATGACTAAGAAAGGGGAGCCCCATTCTCATTCCCCCATTTTCTGCATATCAGTCCCACACACAGAGCTCCCATTGACTGCAAAACCTTTGGCACATGGGGGAGATACAGGCAGTGTGGGGAAGTGCTTAAACCCCAGGAGAGAGCAAATATAAGTAATGAATGATAACTCATGTAGAAAGCCCCAGATATAAAGGAGACAGATCTAAATACTGTATTAGTGAAATTCAATTTCTAAAACTTTGATATATACTACATAGAAATACAAGTGCCTTTTCAAAACACAAGATGTGGTATTTCAACAACAGTACATAATTTATTGGCATAATGAGCGCCAATGTTCCATACATGAAGAATAGCTCAAGTGGGCATCTAATTCTGCAAAAACCATAAAGTCTATTTTATATATTTAGAAATGTAGAAATAAACAAGTAAAACTGATTTTAAAAATTAAGAATTACTACAGTCTTCTGAGGCAAACTTGACAAATTGGTACAGGTTTTAACAGAAGCATAACCTGATGTGAATGGAATAATTGGGAAATCATATACTCTAATTAACATTAATGCTTGTGACCATAGCTCAATATGGCATTTTCAAAACATCATTACAAACTTCACAGAAGAGGGTCCGAAAAGCCAAAAAAAACTCCTAACTTAACCTCTATTTGTCTCAGTTTCCTTGTCTATAAGAAGGGGAATAATAAAGCTGACCTCACAGGATGATTGTAAAGGTTAAGAGAGATCAGGTATGTAGAGTGTTTAAGAAAGTAAAGGTAAAAACTAATGTTAATTATTGTTGTTGTTGGTATTCATGATGTTCTAACCCCAAAGAACATGCCACAGACAATCAATACATCTTGTTTATAGCACTGTTAAGACTCAGTACTTAAGAAGACAATTAAAATGCTTTTAAATGCATTCAAATAAAGAAAACACTTAGTTTTAAAATACCTTCCCATTAACCAATTTTGTGAGATGGAAAAAAAAATAGTCAAGTTAATCTAAATAAGCCTAAAAAGAACACCACAAAACACCAGATAAATGCTAATGACATAATTCTTGAATGTACAAATAGTAGATCAAAGCTTACCGTGCAGATAATATTTTAATAAGCTCTTTTCTATTCTGTACCCGAAGGTGATTAGTTTTATACTTGCAGTCATCAATCAGTTCAGGCAAATTCAAGATCTAAAAGAGAAAAATAATTTTAATGTATAACTCACAAGTTTTTCTCGTACCTGCCTGTGGGTACTAGTGTTCAAGGCCTGCCACTCCCTCCCCAAGACCATTCCTTGCTGGTCTTTATCCTTTTCTCAACAAGAGCAACAAAGGAAACTAGAGGGAAGAATCATGCCATTAGGATGCGTGATGCTGTGACTGTCCGCACTTACAGAAATCCTCTAATCAACATATATCTTGTAGATACATTTACTTATTTATTCCACATGTAAATAAATATTATCTGTGCTGCTAGTCCTATCCATGATGTTGTACAAGATGCTAAAATAAAGGCAAAACACACACACATTTACCCTAAATGCTCACCATTAAAATAATGTCAAATTTAAAGATATTCTTCTAATACAAGTACCACTATTTTTCTTTAATATCTCTCCCTGAAGGAATAACAAATAAAAATGCTTTATATACTTCCTCTTTGGCTCCTCCTCCGTAAACGAAAAATCTATCTGCCAAGTTCCACTCACTATCCTGCAATCTTAACAAGATCATAATAGAAGTATCTAGTGGGTTTGGAATGGATGTTTTAAAAACAATATGTGGAGGCAGAGTTTGGCAGTTGGGTTGGAAAGTCAGGAGCATTTATAGACTAGGGTCAGGGCATGTAGCCTACAGAAAACTTCACTACATCTATTAATGTATTTGCTTTAAATAAAAACATTTAATGGTTTCATTTGTTTCCCACAGTATAAATAAAATAATCCATTAATCATCTTACAAAAGAGGAGAAGTAACTCAAACTACACTAAAAAATTCAAGAGTAGGGAAGACACACAAGCTCACGACACCAGCATTACCCTAATTCCAAAACCAGGTAAAGACATTACAAAGAAAAAAAAATTATAGGCCAATATCCCTCATGAATATTGATGCAAAAATTCTCAACAAAATATTAGCAACCCGACTTCAGCAATATATTAAAAATATCATACACCATGATCCTGGGATGCAAAGTTGATACACTATCAACAAATCAATTAATATGTTATACCACATTAACAAAATGAAAGATTCAAATCATATGATTACATTCATAGATGCAGAAAAGCATTTTACAAAATCCAACACCCATTTATGATACTAACTCTCAGGAAAGTGTGAATAGAGGGGACATACCACAATATAAAGCCCATAAATGATTAAATCCACAGCCAACATCATAGTCAATGGGGAAAAACAAAAATCGTTTCCCTCAAGATCAGGAACAAGACAGAAATGTCCACTTTCAACATTCTTATTCCACATAATACTGGAACTTCTAGCCACAGCAATCAGACAAGAAGAAAAACTAAAAGGCATCCAAATTGGAAAGAAACAAGTAAAACTGTCATTATTTGCAGATACTATATATAGAGAGAACACTAAAGATACCACCAAAAAACCTACTAGAACTGATAAATTAATTTTAATTTAAATTAAATTAAATTAATTTTAATTAATTTTAATTTAAATTAAATTAAATTAATTTTAATTAATTTAATTTAATTAGTTTTAAAACAAAACTGCAATGAGATACCATCTCACACTTGTCAGATGGCTACCATCCATAAATTAACAAACAACAAGTGTTGGGGAGGATGCAGGGAAAAGGAAACCTTAGTGTACTGTTGGTGAAAATGCAGATTGATGCAACCGCTATGGAAAAAAGTTTGGATCATATAGAACATTGGAACAGAGAGCATTTTTTTAGGTGGAATAAGTCTGACAGAAAAAGCAAATATGCTCTGATTTCTTTTTTATGAGGAATCAAAAATACAAAACAAATAAACAAAATGAAATAGAGGCAAACTCCTAGATAGAACTGATGGTTATTACCAGTAAGGAGATTGGGGGGTAAAGGAAAGTACAAATGTCCAATTATAAACTAAACAATTCATGAAGATGTAATATATAGCATAGGGAATATAATCAATAATATTGTAATAACTATGAACAGTGACAGGTAATTACTAAACTTATGGTGATCACTTTGTAAGGAATATAAATATTGAATCACTATGTTGTACACCTAAAACTAATAATATTGCATGTCAACTATAATTAAAAATACATATTAAAAGAACTAAATGGAAAAGTAGAAATGATCAGCAAAAGAAATAGAAGATATGATGAACCAAATGGAAATTTTAGAACTAAAAAATACAGCTAAATAAAGAAAGAAACACTTCACTAAGTGAGCTCAATAGCACAATGGAGATGACAGAGTAAACAATCAAAAGATTGAAAATAGATAACTAGAAATTATTCTATCTGAACCACAGAAAGAAGAAAACTAGTCCCCTCCCCCAAAAAATGAAAGAACACATCTTCAAGGACCAGTATTACAATAGCAAAAAGTCTAATATTTAGGTTATTGTACTCCCAGAAGGAGAGGAGAAAGAGTATACGCTGCAAACTTCCCAAATTTGGTAAAAATTAAAAACCTACTGATTTAATAATTTCATAGAACCTCAAATAGGATAAACCTCACTACATCCATGCCCAAATACAACAAAATCTTACTGGTGAAAACTAATGACAAAGATAAAAATTTTGAAACTCCCCCAAGAAAAATGAATATTGACTCAACTGATTGCAGATTTTTTGTTAGGAATTACATAACCCAGAGCAAAGTGGCACAATGTGCTTAAAGGACTGAAAGGAAAGAACTGTCAACTCAGAATTCTATACCCAATAGAAATGTCCTTTTAAAATGAAGGTTAAGTGAAAGCATTCTTCCTCCCTCTTTGCCATTCTGTTTTGAACAAGCAAATGCTTTTTATTTCTTTTAGGGAAAATAGTACCTAGTAGGAGTACATGACATTTGTTTAGTGCTTAATAGATAAAGCACTTTTGTTTACATTGTTTCATTTTTTTCTGAAGCAGCACTCTTTAAAGCACCTAAAGAATAATTAGAATGAGTATGATCATAACACATGAAGCAGTTTCTCTAGAAACATTACTTTTGCTCACTGTTTAACACTTCCAAAGAGAAAAGAGGTCCAATAAGTCAAATAAGGACACACGAGAAAAGAGGTCCAATAAGTAAAATCAGTTACCCTTGAGTGCAGTCACAGAGTAGTGTTATATGTAGCTAAAGTATATTCTGGGTGAGGCCAGATTTATAAATTTAAGCTGTGATTTAATGAAGGCACTTGCTTTTTTAAAATTTATCTTTATTGTTTAAAGTTATACAGATGTACCCATTTTTCCCCATTGAACCCTTATAGCCTGCCTCCTCCCCTTGCCCCAGGCCTTCATCCTATATAATAAATAGGTAATATGCAAATTAACCCTCACACCCTCACAAGATGGCTGCCTATGACCAGGCTGGCAGGGGGGTTAGTGAGGGACGACCAAAGGACTGAACAGCAGGCTGCATGGGGTGACCAGGACAGTGGGGGTGGGGCGTGTGGGGCAACCAAGCCGGTGGGGGTGGTGCAGTTGGGGGTGACCAGGCTGGCAGGGGGGGCAGTTGGGGGTAATTAGGTTGGCAAGGGGGGCAATGAGGGGTGACCAGGCCAGCAGAAAGGGGTAGTTGGGGGCAACCAGTCCAGCAGGGGGGGCAGTAAGGGGTGACCAGGCCAGTTGGGGGGGGGGCAGTTAGGAGCAACCAGGCCGGCAGGGAGGGGGCAGTTGGGGGCAACCTAGCCGGCAGTGGGGGGCAGTTAGGGGTGATCAGGCCAGCGGAGGGAGCAGTTAGAGGCGATCAGGCAGGCAGGCAGGTGAGCAATTAGGAGCCAGCGGTCCAGGATTGTGAGAGGGATGTCCCCCAAGGGTTCCCGGATTAGAGAGGGTGCAGTCTGGGCTGAGGGGACCCACGCCCCCATGCACAAATTTCGTGCACCGGGCCTCTAGTCATGAAATAACTTATTCACTCTACGGGAGGGAGGTAAGATTGGTATTCCTTCACAAGTCTTGAGGTCAATTCTTGGATCAGGTGTGGTGACTGAGGTTTTCAGAAAGAGCACTCTGTGTGCTGTAGCTTTGTAAAATGTGGGAGAGTAATGCGGTCTTTATTATTACTAAAGGAAATGAAAAAGTGAAACATTAAAAAGAGAAATTATACCATTGAGATTCTCTCTTTACTCTGGAGAATCTTTTTCACTTCTCTCTCCATTTTATTTATTTATTTATTTACTTACTTACCTACTAGTATTTTTCAATTACAGTTTACATTCAATATTATTCTGTCTCAGAAGTTCAACATAATGGTTAGAAAATTACATACTTTACAGAGTGGTCCCTCAAGTTTCAAGTACCCACCTGGCCCCAAATATAGTGTTTATAATATTATTGACTATATTCCTATGTAGTAATCTATATCTCCCTGACTTTTAACTACCAATTTGTACTTCTTAATCTCTCCCAACCTCCCAACCACTTCCCTTCTGACACTGTCAGTCTGCCCTCTGTATCCATGAGTCCGTTTCTATTTTGTTTGTTTGTTTTATGTTGAGTCATATGAAATCTATATATGTTTGGGATATTAACCCCTTATCAGATATATCATTTGCAAACAACTTCTGCCATGCAGTAGGTTGCCTTTTCATCTTGTCGATGCTGTCCTTCACTGTTCAAAAGTTCATTAGTTTGATGTAGTCCCATTTGCTTTTTTTAATTTTTTTTCTTTGCCCAAGAAACCATATCCAAAAAAAAAAAAGTGATTGCTAAGTCAAAGAGTATACTGCCTATATTTTCTGTTAAGAATTTTATGGTTTAGGTCTTACATTCAAGTATTTAGCCCATTTTAAGTTTATTTTTGTACATGATGTAAAAAAAAAAAAGTGGCCTAGTTTCATGGTTTTTGGATGTGTCTGTCCAATTTTATCAACATATATTTTGAAGAGACTATCTTTTCCCCACTGTATATATCTGTCTCCTTTGTCATAGATTAATTGACCATATTCATGTTGGTTTATTTCAGGCTCTTTATTATGTTCCATTGATCTATGTGCCTGGTTTTATTT